CAGTAAAACTTCTTCCAGAAATATGCAATAATATCTGCCATTGAGTGGTATTAGTAGATATGGGCTAATGCAGAAGTTGTCCCCGATATTCACCCATGCATTTACAGAGTATTGTGCTTGGGATGCTTGCAGATCTATAGCAGGTAAGTTTTGCTTTGTCCATGCATAACAGCTATGTACATTAAAAACACTTTCATTTATAAAATTTGTTTCATGGGTGAAAAACATAATGAGCTGAGAAGTTGGGCTGCAACACACTCTGTTTCAAAAACTGTGGGCAGAATCTCATGTGCAGAGGATAAATTTCTATTTTCAAAGCTCAAGTTTATTGAAAATGGAGTGAGTGTAATCATTTTTTGTTTAGCATTTTGAAAGTGGCTGACTCGCACATAAGCAATGTGGAATATTTCTTGTACTTGTCTTGAGTCTGTCAGCTAAGGCCAAGATGAATTCATCAAAGTCTGGGCATTGCTTTTGGTTGGCTGGTTCCTTATGTACTGACATCAAGGAAGTCACTTTTTATAATTTGGTATTTCAACTACTGAGATATTTTCTGGTCTGGCATTTATTTGTCTTTTGGGAGAGTTTTTTTTTTTTGGATATAATTGAAGCACTGCTATGCTGTTACTGTTGCCAGTCTTATAAGCATAATGCTTATAAGTTGGTTGTCTTATAAGCATATCTTAATGCATATCTACCTTCTTGGCATCCAGGAAGTCTTCCAGCACACTCACGAACTGTTTGTTCTTGGAGATGCATAATGTTGATGAGTAATGGATCACCTGTTCTCCTCTGCTGTCAATTATACAAACTGGTCTCTGCACCAAGTATTACTGCTGGTAGGCACAAATTTGAGTAATTATTGTAAATATTGTTGTAAAGAATTAACAATGCTGTAAGTAAGCAATTTATATTTCCTCTTACATCTTATTTCATGTGTTTGTGGCTCAGTATGTCACTTGCACTCATACATTCTTATATACGAGAAATATCTCGTAAGAAATATCTGTTCTTGTATGATGTATCACTCCTTAAAATTTGCCTTGTGGGATCTGTATAGTATTTGGGCATTGTTGCATTGCCTCATTTAAGCTGCCGGTTGACAAGAAATTTAAATGCAATTAAGGTGATTAGGCGCTTCTGTAATATGCTACTTACTTTTATTTCAATAGCATTATTTGTTACACCATACACAATGGTAAGATGTCCTGTCATATTTTGCAATGAAATTGAATTTCTACTAATTTTGCAGGTTCTTAGATGGAACTAGCGTACCACTGACATTGATTAAACTATTAAAAAAATCAAACTGAATTAAAACTTGGAAAGCTTCGAATTTAAGTGTTTGTATGCAGTTGTTCTACTTAATTTAATAATTTGTATTTTTTGTATAATTGTGGTTTTTATCTAATTATACATTCATACTATGTTTATTTATCATGACCTCAGGGGATGAAAAAAATAAATGATTGTAGATAGTTTGTTTTAAAAGATGCTTAAAAGTAGTGTTTCTCTTGTATGTATAAGTGAGTTAGGTGATCAGATCACTCGATACAGAAGTCAGAACTTTTGTCTGATCCTGTGTGTAGCAATTATGCAGCAAACAGCATTGTTCTGTTGCTAGCATAAATGGAAAAATAGTGTAGGAGTAAAATTTTACTTAAGATATTGAAGTACACTTACTAAGTCATTTCAGATCCAAAATTAGCAGATGAAGATAAACAGGTGAAAAATTCATGAGAGGGGTATAAGAAAGTTTCAGGTACATGACTGCATCCATTGAATAAGAAGTTTTTCTTCGCAAAGTGGATGAGAAATTTCGATTGCATGCAAACTTGCAGTCAGCTTTTCAAGTTGTGGCTTGGCATTGACTGTAACCATGATGGTATGTTAGATGAATTTTCTGACAGTACTGTTGATCCAAGTTGTTGCTTTGTTCAGTACTGGCATGAAATTTCTCTTAAGTTTTTCACTGTAAAGGAATACATTTGTTATCTCTGCTATTTTTTCTTCTGAGTTTTCAGTAATTGCAAAGAAGTCTTCCTTTGAATGTGTAAATTTTCTGTTTTTAACTTCTGGGTTATTTGCTGATTTTCTTTTGTTCTCGAAGGTTTTCTTGTAAAATTGGACATTTGCAATAAGAGCTGATACAACAATACAACAGCGCATTTTAGTTTCTTTCTTTTCTCAAAGTTTACATCTGTACAGAAGCCTGCACATCACTCACCTTTCCATTTTGAAGCAATTATGCTGAGTGTGTCCAGTTTCTGGCATTTATAGCATTAGGTTGAGCATTTTCTGTGTAAAAATTTCTTAAGCTGGGCATTAACATTGTGGATATTACATATATAAAAGACTGTATCACCTTCTCCACTCTTGACGAGCTCAAAGAAAAATATTGGTAATGGTTGCTCAATACCAATTTTTGTATGTTTGAATTGTTTCACATGCGCAACAGGAAAGTTATCATTAATGAGGTCGTATTTTGTTGCTTCTGCATAGATCGATGTGGGCAGTCTGTTGGTAGTTAATTGCCTTGTTGCTCCCATACTGTTTGGTATGGAACAAAACTGGTGTTTCTGAGGTATTCCTTAATAATATAGTAGTTTACATTCTTTCTTGCATTAATAACAAATTTCTTAATGTAAAAAAATTCTGACATCTGCAAAAATAAAAAACTTAAAGTAGAATTGCATTAACCCTCGGAGTAGCATGGGATTTGGGATCTACTTATGAAGAACGGTATTTAAACAGTGATTATTTGCTAAATTTTTAAAATTAATTATTTGTCTCTGTTTCTATAAATGTCTATTCATTCAGATAATGTTTAGATCATTAAAATAAATAATAAAGCAAAATATTTTAAATAATAAAGTTATATGTACCAAAAGGAAAAAAAAATGTCATGCCCAGATAAAGGTGGTCATGCACCCATGGTGTAAAGAAGTGGTGCTTTCTGGGCTGTTATTAAACAAAAATATAAAGATCTATACTAAATGTTTTTTTAAATATTTTCTTGGCTGTTGTGATTACTCAATTAACATGTTTAGGCATAGAATGCAATTTTCTATTCTTTTCATGTTTTTACTTATTTTTTTGTGTATTTTCACCAATGAGAAAAACTAATTGTTCCTAATTGTGTACTTTAATGTAATTTAATATACATAATTTTTTGAAAATGTGTTTGATTTAGCTGACAGAAGGCAATAATAGACAGCCATTACTGCTAGGCTGTCAGTTAATTTGAGAATAGGTTGTTCTTTAATGTAGTTTTCTGTTGCTGTGAAATGTGTGGGCTCATGATGTCAGGTTTTCTTACAAAGATCTTGAAGAAGGTTTCCATTTTGAAGGATGCTTTGCTATCATAAAATCCATAATCTAATTTTAATTTGTTCATCATTTCAGAAATTTGCAAATTATCTGTAGCTTTTGGAAGTTGAGAAAAATATGCAGTATTATTGAAAAGTGGTTTGAATCACTGGAACCACTTCCTGGAGCATTATCTTTCCACTCTCTGAGGATAAGACCTAAACCATATACTACCTAATGTAATTTCTTCCAAAATAAGCAAAAATAATGCATAAATAAGCCTCTTCTAACTTAAACTGAGAATAATATCTAAATTAACAGATTAATTCAAAAAATAAACTCTTTATTATTCTTGAAAAAAGTTTCATACATGAACTCTTTTGTTATTAAAATACTTAAACAGAAATGAAAACATTGAAATTTATGCTAAAGTAGGTATATATTTTTAAAGGTCGTGGACCCTGTAACTAGAGAGAAAATAAATGTGCTCTAGAAACATTATGAATGATGTATTTGTATACAAATTATGTATTATACTCGAGGCATAATTTACCAAAATTCAATGCTTTCATGAAATCCAGTAACTTTATTCCTTCTCTGAATTAGTAAATTCTGCCTAAACTATAGACTCTTCACAAGAACTGATCACTGAAATGCAGTAAAGTTTCTCTAAGGTGAACCTCTAAAAGTGGCCTCTATTTCTCAGAATGTAAATAACATTATTAAACATCACCAATAATCATGTTATTTAAGGTGACCACCTCCACTGAAAAACAGAATCATTTGAAACGACGGTATTCATCTTCAGAGGATATCATTAAATTTACGATGTGTGAGTAAATTATGATTTTTTCCAGCCCTTTTTAAGCCCTCTTTTTATCCACATTAGATCTCTTAATGGTTTCTTGTTTTGAACAATGATTATGCTGAATCTGTTAAAGGTTTATGGTACAGTGCTTGCTTCTGTGTTGTTAAAATTACATCCTCTTCTCCAACAAAGTTTCCAAATTTGTTAAAAAGTCTTAGACATAAAGAATTTTAAATCTTTCAGCTGTTCCACTTCAGATAAGGATCTGGATTTTTTCTTTCATTTATATTACAATATGAGGATCTCTTCAGATTCTTCAACTTATTAATGGCCAGTAGCACATTTGTATCACATACAAATTCTTTTCATTTATAAATTCCCTTTATAGAAGAATATATTACTTGACTCAGTATTGACTACCAAATTTGTAAAACATAAAATCCCTATTTTAATGCGCAGATTGACTTTCTGAATTTACATTGCTTTTTGGTACTTAGGCTGTTAGTATTGGAGAAGGTTTGTAACACAAATTTTGTATACATTCGTTTCTATTGATGCTGCCTGGCAAAATGCATTATTTTAATCGGAATGCCCAGCAATTTCAGTATGTAATGAACGTGGAAAAAATAAACTACAAAACTTGTTAATTGGAATTTTAAATTTAAAAAAAAAAAAAAAAACTTAAATGTGTATTGTTTAACCAAGGATAAGATATTTTGTAATCTTTTGAAATATTTTTGGTGATATTTGAATTTTTTTGGTAACTGTGAATTGCTGTTTTACTTCACATATTTTCTTTGTATTACAGTTGCATTTGAATTAATTTCTGTTTTAATTTATATGTATGTTAACATCAGCAATGGTTTCTTATGTGAATTTGTAGGTAAACCATCAACTGAAAAAGCCAGGTATGATACATCTTTAGGCCAGCTTACTAAGAAGTTTCTGAAATTGCTGTCTGATGCATCAGATGGTGTAAGTACTACAGATTGCAACTAAATTTTATAGATATTTTGTATTTCAAAGAATGTGTTATACCTTTATTATACTAAAGACATTTTCATCATTTAGTCCCCCCCCCACATTTTCATTTAGCTTCATCTTCCATTTGAGAGTATTTAATTTTAATGAAGTACAATATGTTTATATTAATTTGCATAATTTTTCTTAATCTTCAAAGGATTTTTTCCAGAATCTCATCCACAGTTTCCAGATTATTAGTATTCTTTTAGAAATACTGAGCACATTTAAACATTTTTGGAGCAATTCATTGAAGAATTTAAGAAAGCAAATGTTTGAGAATAAAAATTTCTGGCAGCAACTTATTATTTGAAGTGAGACATATAGTCTGCCTTTTTAAAATTTATTATTCTTTCAAAATAACACATGTAAACAAGTTGTTGATTGATGGATAGGCTTTTGCATGTCCTGAAGGGAAATGTTCCTATTCCATAATTCAGAAAAATTATGTAATGCATAGTAGTAAATTTTCTAAATGTAAAATAAGCAACAATATTAATTTGGAGGGAGGATCATTGCATCTATGTGGAAAGAAGGCTAAAAAAAAATTCCTGAAAAAGTTACATACTGTTTCTAATGTTAAACCATTGGGAATATGGGAAAATCTGAAGATGCAGAAATCAATTGCAAAGTACATCTGTAGCAACAATAAATGAAATAATAAAACAAGATTTATATATTAAAAAGGCTAAAAAATTCATAACGTTCACCAGCTATTGCTGATGCATATGACTCAACGCAGAATAATTTGTAGAACCATGTTTGAAAACTATTTAGCAGAAGGTAAATGGAAGTGCATAGTTATGGTCTCTGATGAAGTGTGAGTTTACCTAGATGAGTGCAGCAAAAGGAGGTCTATTTATTATTGAAAATGAAGAGAAAAAGTGTACATAGTATCATCAATGCAAAGAAAGTTTCAGTAAGATGTTATTATTGTCAGACAGTTCTCTTACATACAGTGGAAAATTAAAAATAAGAAAAGTGGAAGAACAAATTAAAATAACGGGCTATCAAGAGAATGTTTTGCATCTGAAATTTACAGAGGAAATGACATTTCCTTATTCCAATGACTTTCAAAGAGTGAACTCCACCTAGCAACAAGGTCATACTGCAAAAAGTATCAATCACTCCATTCCATGAAAAATTGAAAACTCATACAGATGTTGCATATATATCTTTTCTCTGATTTCTGTGAAGTTTTCTGATGTTTCACATATGGACTGTTGTGGCTTTGGTCGTTTGAAAAGAGCTCTTTGTGCAGACCCTCGGTAATTGATGGTCTCTGGGAAGTATTGGAAGAGGAATGGTCAACAAGAGCAACAAGGTCATACTGCAAAAAGTATCAATCACTCCATTCCATGAAAAATTGAAAACTCATACAGATGTTGCATATATATCTTTTCTCTGATTTCTGTGAAGTTTTCTGATGTTTCACATATGGACTGTTGTGGCTTTGGTCGTTTGAAAAGAGCTCTTTGTGCAGACCCTCGGTAATTGATGGTCTCTGGGAAGTATTGGAAGAGGAATGGAAATCGATGATCCTGGAATTTTTATGAAAAGCCATTCTATCATGGAAATCATGATACAGATGTATAGGTCCGAAAACAGGCTCTCAGATCGAATGTTTTATAAAGAAAAACACTCTTTACACCTTAAACATTAATTACATGCCCCCAAAATCGAATATATTAAATTCTGTGGAAGATTTTTATGTTAAATAAGTATTGTTTCAAGAATTCAATAGCTGTAAAAGGATTGAAAAATGGGCAAATTCACTCAAAAGTGGAAACACTTATTCACACATTTTAATGGAATATTTTCATACCTATATGAAAAGTAGTGATTTGTCATTGTGTTAAATTTAAGTGCAAAACTAAAATTAAAATGAAATAAATTGTGCTTCAAACTTTGCAAATGTTGATGGAAAAGTGAATTGCAGCAACATGTATTCCCCCCCCCTCTCCAAAAGTGGCATGTGATATGTTGGAGTTAGGCAGAATATAGCATGAAAACCTGAGTGTAAGCCAAAGGAAAGGAGGAAAATAAATGAGGAAAACAAACTCATCTTAAAAACAAATTCATCTGAAGTGTATGTTAAATGAAATCTGAAACATTTAGAATATGTTATGGAAAAATTTAAAATACCAGTTAACTTTCCTGCAACAAACACTGTGGAACAGAAATGTTACAAGCATTCGCTCAGCAGATAGAATTAAATTCAAATGCTTATCAACCTATCTGCTTTAATAAAAAATTATAATTCCATTAAGAAAACTGCTGTGCTTTATTCTTTTGAGTGTTACATTTGTTGAGAAATTAAGTAAATTAATTCAGAAGGAAGCTAAACAAATAAGTTCATTCTTTACCAAATTTTATAATCACCCTTTACTAAATACAAATTTACGAGCTTTCTGCTTTTCTTCAGTTATAAATATGCATTAATATGTATAGTGAGCATGCAAATATGTCAGGATATATGAATGGATCAAACACAATGCTTCAGATTGTAAGAGCACATATGGCATAAGAACATCTTTTGCAGTAGCATATCAAATAGTTTAAAAGCACTGCTTTTAATACCAGTTAAGTTTTTTTGGTCCTATGCATTATCCTCGTTATTTTTGTCACCTCCATACAATTCTTTTCTATGCCATCATGCTGGGTTTCATGCCAAACTCAATTATATTATAGCTTTTCTATCTACCTATACAATATTCTCTCTCTCCTTCTAATGTTTGTATTTTTCCTGTCAGGTGTAGACATCATTACTATACTGCCATATGCATGATGCAGTATGCTTCAGAATGTACATTTTGCAGTGGCATTTGAATACCTCCATTCTATTTAGTTTTCCCCATTCACTTTTATATATTATCGTGTGCTGTAGTTCCTTGTTTGCAAGGTTATGTGTGTAAATGTATTATTTTTAATATTTTAAGGTCTTTACTTTACAATGATTAAAATTATATTTATTTGTGCTTTTAGTTTTAGAATGATGTGAAAAAAACTGCATTCTCATTTGTATGAGAAATTTAACTTTTAAAAATATCAAAGTCTGATAAACATCTAATTTTGAACGTAGCTGAAAAGGTATTTTTACTACTTTTGTTTACACGATGTTATTTTAACCTTAGTAATGGCAGTATGTATATAAATTGAAATTCAGAGAATGCTTTCCAGTCCATCACTGCTGGTAAATTTCTCAAATGAACCATCCTCACTTTTAAGTAGTGAACTATAATTCCACAGACTGAGCACTTAGGACTCCACAGAAGTTGCATTGTTAGAATTTTGATAATTTGTTAAAGAAAATAATTTCATATGCATTACTTACTGGTGTAGCTGGTCTTGGCAGGTTATTATTGAACTATTAATGTATGCTTATACAAACTATTTTTTTTTTAGTGCCTTCAAATTCTGTTTATGGTAAAACATTGGGAGGGGGGGGGAACCTCTCATTTTAAGTGATTTCCCATGTGATAGTATTCATTGAATATGTGCACAAAATGCTCATAGTGTACAAATTCATGTGAAAAAATAATTGTGTGTATATAACTAACATCTCCATAATGAAAAAATACTGTTCTTATTAAAATATCTTTGCAGCATTTGATTTTTATTTCAGGTTATTAAAATGCTCATTAGCTAACTTTTGTATGCTTAAAATTTTCCAAATTCTAATATTAACCCCTTCGCGCCGATTGTCACGTCTACGTGCCAGCAATGAACACACTCACTTCCCGGCCATTTTCCCGTTCAGCCCCGACTGTCACGTATTTGTGTATTTGTGTTATTTCGGACATGTGTATGCCGATTACGTCGGCATACAGATGTACGAAATGTCCTCATCATTATTAATCCTTAACCCCTTAACTGCCGCGGGCGTATATATACGCCTTGCTCAGCCGATGCGTTAACTGCCCCAGATGCGCCCAGAATGCGCAGCCGATGCGTTAACTTTGCGAATAATTTTAGGTGTAGCAGCGCAAAGCAAATGATAGCAGTTTGGAAGGACGTATATATATGCCTGGGGCAGTTAACGCATCGGCTGAGCAAGGCGTATATATATACGCCCGCGGCGGTTAAGGGGTTAATTAATTAATGTCCTCATCTTCAATGTCGTTATTACGAGTGCAAGGAATGTAACATAGGACTGTGTGTAGATCCCTGTTTTCAAATTTTTCATACGAAAAGAGAATTTTAAGTAATATATTTAGTTTTCAGATGTATAATGTTAAAAGTCATAAAATGGTGAGTAATGAAAATAAAATGTGTAAAATATGCATTTAAACAAGAAATAAGGTAATTAAAGTATATATATATAAATATCTATAAAGCAAAAGCCGTTTAAATACTCTATAGAGCATTATTAAACAATGTGTTGATACTTCGGAAATTTCATGGATTTAGGCTTAATAGCAAAAAAGCCCCCGGCCCTGGACAGACGCTCGCGTAAGACACTGCCGGCCTCCACGATAAGCGCGTGTTTGCGATACCCGGCACGAAGGGGTTAACATTGCATTCTTTACTCAGTATTTGTCATTGCTTGTGGTATGTTTGTATGGTAAAATTTCTGCTGTATTTTTTTTTTTTTTTAATTCTCATAATAATAATAATAATGGAGCTCAAAATAGTTTCGTTTTCTTATATTGTTTTCATCATTTCCTTGTTACACACTCATGAACGTAGGTATGTATTTTAAAGAGTACTTTCCATACTAATCAAATAACAAAAATGATCTATTGGGTCTTAAAGGGTAAAAATTTTACTATTTTTGGTCTTAGTTAAAAATCTGGATGATAAGTTGAACTGGTTACAGTGAATTTTTTCATTAACATAGAATGTCTACTGAAATCTTCTTCCCATCATGCATATGGCAGTATTTTTGTTTTTGTTAAATTTTCTCTTATGGTGCAAAAAAATTTGAAAAAACAAAGAAGTTCTGTTTTCTGATT